GCAGGAAATTCCAGCACCAATTTTTACCCCAGCTCAAACTTCCATTTTGAAAAAAGAATCTATCAGAACCTCTTATTTCAGTTTATTTTCAGTAGTATAGAAAGCTTTTGAGGTAACTTTGTTACTAGGTGCAAACTGACAGATTCTTTCAATTTCCTATTGGAAACTGCAGTCAGTAACTACTCCCAGAAAAATTTGTTAAAACAGTAATTCCTATTAGACAACTTCTTAAAACTTAGTTTAACCTACAGAGATTTCAAGTAGGTTTCACTGGCTGCATTCAAGCCAGTAGCTTAAGTATCACATCATAAAACTTTTATGTTTTAGGAGGTTAAAGAGTTGTTTTAGACTACCCAAAATAAGACTTGATAAATATTCAGCTCAATGGCTAAGTTTAGATTTCTGTTCCCTTTCCAGGGTCCAGTTAAAAGCACATGGAAATCTTCCTGGCACCTACAAGAACCCAGTTTGCTACCATGCCAGCATATCAAGGGTAAAACACAAGCTTTCTCACAGATAAGCCATCTGCATGCCTGTGGCCTCTTCATGAAGTTACACAAGCATTTCACTATTCACTACAGTCTCTAACAAGCCTAACTCATAATTCCCAACAGCACTCCGTGTAGGCACAGGCTACCCTGGTACTATAAGGCTGCACCATGAGCTGCACCTCCCCAGAATGCCTTATACCATCTTTACTGACCCTTTAGACACCAATTTGGGTGTTGTGACAGGTCAAGTAGCTTGCCACAGCAGCCACTTTTCTTGGCAAGAGAAAGACCAACGTAGCCATGCTGTGGATGGCTAATGAGTGATGCCATACAGCACATGACAAATCCAGGTGCTACAGGGATGTGAAATGTGTATATATAAGGATGGTCCAAATCAAAGATGACAGACATGCATGTAAGAAAGGTACATATTCAAGTTTGCTTTCTTCCCAATTGTTAGAGGTCTTCAAACACAGCTACTTGTTTTCAAAAAGTGTTTGAGCACCTACACGTGACAACCAAAGCAGCACATGTTCCTCTATCCAAGCCTAAAAGTGACTGTAGAGATCAAAATCTTACAGTTAGGATAAAATCTGATTCAGTTAGGAACTCCTACAACATTAGAATAACAAACTGAAAACATGCATGTTTGTCCCCTAATTGGTAATCTTGCAAAACAGAATATACCAAGGAATAACTTCCACCTGGCCTAGCTAAAGCTGCATTGATCTAGGTTGCCTGTAATAGTTGCACTTACAGACCAAGATATTTGTGCATCCCTTCCATTATATTCAGTATAAATTAGCATACATAGGGCTATGTATAGAGTTAGACAATATTATGTATGCTCCTTCTGAGAGATGAGGCCAAGTTGTGGTTTTGGGTAGCTTTGGGTAGACCCAAGTTGGTCACTTTGGGGGGGCGGGGTGGGGGTAGAAATCAGTTACGTCATCTGCAACTACTCATTTAGAGTGAAACTTTGCTGACTCACATTGCAGGAAGCATCAGGAAGAGACACCCTCCATGTCTACCAGGAGTCCCTGGCATTACAAAACACTTACCCAACAAGCACCCAAAGAGAAACTGTAGGGTTTAAGCTGGAAAAAAGAAGAAGTGATATACAACGCATAAGAAGCCAAGAAACTGCTAGTGTGACACCGCTGCTGTCTGCACAAGAGCTCACAACAGAGGCTGGCCCCCTGCACCAGCCAGGGGAAGCTGCTCTCTGCCCCACCAAGGCTGTTTAAGGCCATTTTGGCTTTAGCCTTCAAGGAAGACAAAGGTTTCTAAGCAGTCTGGAAATCATGGTGCAAAAGTGTGATCTACCATGCAGAGCCATCTCCTAGCTTACCTGTGTAAAACGTTGTGTTGTTGGATTCCAGGTCAAAGATGCTTTTGGTCTGCGAATCAAACCGAAGCCATAGTCCAATTGCAAGAACTGCCGTCCCTGCAAGCTGCAAGAACAAGTAAGCCTTGTTAAATAAAACAAATTATTACATTCACCCTTGCATTAGTAACAACAGCAGAAGTAAACACAGGATACAGCTCTTACTTAAAGGAGCTGTGACAGAATCAGCATAAAAGGATGGGAACACCAAAACAAGAACAAACTTAGTTCCTGACATAAGGCATCTTGTTTACAGATGTGTTTACATATTAAGCCACACACCAGAACAATGCCATTCTTGTTCTTAACTGAAAATAACCGAGGCTTAGTAAAGCCACCAAGTGTCAGTATTTCCGCTGACCCCCTCCACCCATTAGTTTATTCTGGGTGACTAACAACATGGCATGGCTTAATAGTCTTCCAGTATGAAGATTTAAGATAAGTGTATCACAAGAAAAAGTGCCTAGTAAGGCCAGCTAAAAGTTTTAACACATTAAACAGACCACTAAGAGTTCAGCATACTGCAGTATAGAAGTTAGAAAGAGTGCTGTTTCTTGCAAAAGAGGCTAAAACCAATCCAATAAGTCACTGCACTGACAGGAAGAGGAAAACATAGGCTGCTGAAATAGCAACATTGCTATATGCTGATCTGGAACACCACAATCAAATTTTAGATAATATTTAATTTTATTATATTATTGTCTCTGCCTGTGTACCTCCAGGTTCCTTTTTCACATCAGTGCCTGTGTTCACAGCAAGTTGTTCTGTGTATAAATTAGCTTCTGGCTGAAGCATCTGGCAGAAGGCATTGGAGCAGTGTTGCAAGAAAGAGAGAATTGCACTCTGGTAAGGCAAATGCTAACAGTTTGCTTTGAACAGACTCAATCGTCCCCACTTTTTTAAAAAGAGAAAGTCTTTGGTTGTCTTGCATGCAGAAACAGAAAAGAAACCAGGACAAACTAGGAAGCTGGAGAACGTGCTTTTCAGTTCTTCCTTCTCTCCTTTGCAGACCATTTAACTATGAAAAAAGCTCTACAGAAGTGAGATAAGGACAGAAATACCACACATTGCAGCAGTCATTACATTTTTAAACTTAAGAGTGAGCAGCAAGCTTAGAAACTCTGGAGCTTTGGTTAGTCTAAGCATGCACGGAAAGGAAACGCAAAGCCTTATGTCTGATAAGAAGCTGCTTCTAGAAGGGAAGAACGTTCCTGATTCATCTCCAAGGAACCAGAAAGCGTTTAAACTGTTAGTTTTCAGTAATCATATGGAAGGAATTCCCACAGAAAGCACACGACACCGAGCCCAAATTCCCTGGCCCCACGCTCTCCCCGCAGGGAGCCAGAGAGCCCTTTCTCCCTGCTAGCCGAGTGCAGGTGTGCACTGACGGCAGGCACAGCTCTGCGGCCCACAGCTGTCTTTGCCAACCTCCTAGGCTCCGTCTGCCAAAAAAATAAGGAAACCTCTGAAGATTCACACAGGACAAAGAGGATGGAGCTAAGCGAGGGCTGAAGGGAAGGTACACCCCTTGTAGCTTCTCGGCAGAAAGCATCCTAACTGAAGTGCTAAAGGGCGCAGGTATCAGTGAAGGAAAGCGAGAGGCCAGCCCTGCCAGAAAAACCTGCGTTTCTTGTAGGGCAGGCACCTGACTCCCAAGCCTGCCTCAGAGAGGAGCTGCAGGGTGCTAGCTGGGAAACAGATGAAGCGATACACAATGCATAAAGAGCCAAACCCAAGCGCAGATTTCCAGACCTACGCAAAAGGCACTTTGTTGGTGTCACAGGCACATAGGCCCAGGCTTACTCACAAAAAGCCCACAGCAAGAACAAAGCCTGTGCATACCTACCGCTCTCCTTGTTAGGGCTACGCTGACAAAATAAGTTACGCCGAAGAACCTCGGTAGCACACAGTATGTCACAACAGCATTGTTATGTCAATTCATTGTGCCACAGCAGCACCCCAGGGGAAGGGAGAGGTGCAAGAAGGAGACTTGGCAGAGAGAAGGGTTGCTGCTCTACCTGCGCTCACTGCTACAGCATCACTTAAAGCCTTCGCCACCTCACCTCACTTCAGCGCCTCAGTTCAAAACTGGAAGGGCTTAGTGATGGAAAAGAAACTCATGCACTGCTTCTACCCTACAGTTAAGTCACCCGGTATTTAATAACACTGAGACTCACTTTCCTGGGTCATCAGTCTTCAGCTTTTATAGGCATCCAGATCTGGAGCATTAGGAGAAGAAACCTACTGACTCTGCTTGTTTTGCCAAGAGCTGATGCATTGCAAAGCCACAAGCCTAAGCACACCCAGCTGTCTGCACCCATGTTTGTGGTTTGACAATTCACAGTGTCCAAGTGGAGAGCTTGTGACGGTGCTGCAAAGCGAGCAGGGAACAGCAAAGGACTGTAAAACCCAGAGCTGATCCCCCAGCAGACCTTTAAGGCCAGACTATTCAAATTGTAAAGAAACTTCAAGCCATACTACAACCATGCAGATAATCTAACAAGTCCAAGCAAAGCAGAAGGCTCAGTTAATGATCTCTTTGAGAAACAAACTGGTTGGTTAACATTAGGAAGAGCTGACGTACTTAATATGTCTCCTTTTAAAAAAAAACAGACCTAACACAGGGGGTGGGAGGGGGGGTAACCATCATGTTTTCTCCTTGGGAAAGCAGTCATCCTGTGAAAAAAGTTATTATCACAGGGAGGCAAGAGACTTATGGGATCACAGAATAGTGATAATACTTGATGTCAGTGAACTGCTCCAGATCACCAAAAACGTTGTAGGATTAAGTGATAATTCTCTCCATGGTGGACTAGGAAAAAATCCCACACAGCTCCTTCTTGCAAGAAGTGACTTATTGTTTTTGTTTCTTAAGGAAAGCACACTTGTGTTATCAGTTTGTGCTCCTCCTACCCACAATGACCACTGAACTAAAAAAAGGCAGCTTTAAAGCAGAAGGCAAGAAAGTAATTTGAAACTTGTTTTTGTCAAAACAACAGGAGACTAGGGCACCTACGCCAGCCTCGGATGAGGAGGCAAGCACAGCCCCACCGGCACCTGCTGCACTTGGCAGCATCTCAGACCAATCTGGCACACCAGATACTGGTACACGGCTGCCTCTCTGCTCACCAGTGCTACGCCAGTAGGTTTTGGCAGTCACATTGGGGTGGTTTTGGTAGCTGTTGTTTCTCCTCCCTGGGAAAGGGGTGTAAGCACCCCCACCCAGGCTGCATGGAAGCAGATCCCCTGAAGAGCTGGTTGTTGGGTTTTTAATCCAAGTGTTTTCCCAGTTTAACAGACCTGTTTTGTCATAGGAGTTGAGTAACACAGAATATTTCTAAGTAGATCTATCCTGTGCTGAAAAATAAATTTAACAGAAAAAGAACAAAACTAACTGTTGTCCTGAAGCTAGTCACTCTGTGTGTTTGCAGAAACCTACAAAACAAAAGAGCAGGTTTGTGTGCTTATGAAACATGTAAGCAGTATGTTTCTGTAGTAACAAGCATAGGAAAGGGAACTCAGAAGACAGGGTTGGGTTTTTTTTTTTTTTAACCAATCTGACCAAGATGTGAAGTTACAGGGCTATGATTCACTCACTGTATTGGAAAAGTTTGTGGCAATGATTCTCCAGTCATAGCATGCCCTGGCACAAGTATGCTACCATCACCGCTGCTCAAACTAACAAGGCTTCCTTGCGTTTCCCCTAACCACTACTAAGCATCTTAGAGCTCCCAGGTCATTTCTGTTTGACTTATCTCTATTCTGTTAGCTGCAATGGACATGCCAAACAAGGATAAAAATACCTAGTTATTCCTCCTCTAGTCCTATGGAGGCTTTTTGCTTTTTGAGGTTTTTCGTGGGGTTTTTTTTTTTTGCATCACATGCAGACATACCCCCACTGCCTGAAAGGCTCTACTCCTGCATGCATCCTTCCGCCTGTTTTAACAGAAAAAACCTGCTTTTTCGTTCTGCCTTCCTTTCTTACACAGCCCTGCACCTTCTCTAGTGAGCCTCTTGTACAAGACTTCCCTCCTCCCAGTCATTCAGCCCCACACTCCAACAAGTGCCTTTTCCAAAGTCAGCGCTTTCCATTGCTCTAGTCTCACCCTTGCAAACTAGATGGCTTTGCTTCTGAGTATATCTAAGGGTATGTCCCAGTATTTGTCTTTGACACCCTGCTTTCTTTTAGCCTTCCATGTGACAAAAGGTAACTGGCAAAGGGTCTGTACCACTGCGAAGGACAAGTCGCTATACACTTGAGATGAGAAACAACCTGTCTATCCTGGAGGCGAAAGCCATACAGAACACTCTGCCTTCCTCCCCTTGCCATACTTGGCTAACTCCAGCAGGAACTTGGAGCATCGATTGAGGGAGGTGATTCTGCCCCTCTACTCTGCTCTGGTGAGACCTCACCTGGAGCACTGCGTCCAGCTCTGGGGCCCTCAGCACAAGAAGGACATGGACCTGCTGGAGAGGGTCCAGAGGAGGACCACAAAAATGATCCAAGGGCTGAGGCACCTCTCCTACGAGGAGAGGCTGAGGGAGTTGGGGTTGTTCAGCCTGGAGAAGAGAAGGCTGCGGGGGCACCTTATTGCAGCCTTTCAGTACTTAAAGGGGGCCTATAGGAAGGATGGGGACAATCTTTTTAGCAAGGCCTGTTGTGACAGGACAAGGAGTAATGGTTTTAAACTAAAGAATAGGTTTAGACTAGATACAAGGAAGCATTCTCTTTTTTTTTTTTTTACAATGAGGGTGGTGAAGCACTGGAACAGGTAGCCCAGAGAGGTGGTGGAGGCCCCATCCCTAGAAACATTCAAGGCCAGGTTGGATGGGGCTCTGAGCAACCTGATCTGGTTAAAGCTGTCCCTGCTCACTGCAGCGGGGTTGGGCTAGATGGCCTCTAGAGGTCCCTTCCAACCCAAAGCATTCTGTGATTCATTCAGTGCTGAGGCATGCTATCAAGCCATTTCCACTGCATTTTTTTTTTTCCCCTTTAACACCTGAGGTTTCACAGATATGGACTCCTAGCAGAAGGCTTGCACAGGGAATCATTAAATTTAATGATACTGGTGTAAACACACATTAAAAGTTTAAGCTTTTCAAACTAGAAATTCCATTTTTTGTTAACATATCCCATGATACAGCAATGCACAGCACTACTCTGGGAAGCTGGGAAGTTTATTTCAGGTTTAACCACTATTTTGCAAGGACCATTTTGTTCAGTCCCTTCTGACCTTGTCACCTTGATCCATCTTGAGAAACCACAATCCTCAGCCAAGCACCCCACTTGCTAAACACCTTACAGCATCTTACTTTTCCACAGACAGAAGCACCATTCAAAGGGCTCAAGGTCTAAGCAGTTATCAAATCCTTATAGCTGGCAGATAAAGCTTAGAGAGGGGGACACCCCCCCAAGCATCCACCAGGTTACTACCAGCCCTTCTTCCACTTCCACAGCATGGAGGCAGGGATAGAGGAGAAATGAGACACTGCAAGAACTCCTGCTATATGCATCAAAGGATGTAAAAAGGCCTTTGTACAGGAAACTATAGGTTCTGGTATTTTAGCACATTCAGGCCAAGCTTACATGCAACTTCTATCAAGTCTGTGGCATTACATCTAGCAGAAGGCAAGTCAATACGTGGAAATACAGCAGAGTCAGTCAAAAATAAATATGACTTTCAGTGTTGTCAGCTCAGCATTGCATCTAACAGAATACTGTTATTAATTTTTTTTTAAGTAAGAACGTATGTCAGGTTCTACATTACTGTTCCTTTTATAGGTTTTACCCAGGGTGTGCCAAGAGTACACTGAAAAAGCCACTACTTTCTCTTCACCTCAAACAGGAAAATACTTCCAGCTAAAAATCTGACTCAGATCTTCCCCTGCATAAGGCAAACAACTTTCCCTCGCTGTGCAAGATAGCATATGAACAAAACCAGAACCAGATATGTAACATTGCAAAGCACACAGGCAAAAAAATCAGGAGCATTATGAGCAGTAATGAACTGTCCGTTTCTGTCCTGTTACCTGCTGGTACTCTATAAATAAAAACCCATAAACAGTTAAGTACAGATGAGGCTCAACATCACTCTAAACCCATAATTACAGGATTAGTGTTATCCACAACAGCACAGGTTTTCAAACTTCTGAAAAAAGCTTTCCTAACTGCTAGTACTCATTGCACACGTTACATAAGAAACTGCAGCTATTTCCAAACTCCTTTGAAAAAAAGTAGATTGGAAAGGAAGTATTTTCTTTCTGCTTAAGCTAGATTCAAGAATGTTGTGGGCTAAGTTAATGTCACAGCATTTATTGCAATAAAATGGTGCTCCAGTACAGTAGAAGCAGCATCACAGAATTCCTGAACCACTGCCAAGACTAGTGCCCATTTCATACAAGTTCCTATTCAGAAGCCAGTCTACTGTATTTGCAATTTAAATTGCAAATAGGAGGTAGGACTGTTAGAACTCTAAGTACAAGTAGCTTCACATCAGGTTTCTCAAGGCAACATCCTCCAACTCCATTCCTGATTTTACAGCACTTACCAGTTAAAATACATTGAGCTGAGCCAAGGAGCATTTTGATTCATACACTGCAGTCAGCAACTAGTCAGTTGATTACAGAAAGCAAAAGCAACTAATTTAAGTTCCTTTTGTATATGTTTGCATATATACACACACACATATTTCCCTGCCCATCCAGCAAGTCCTCTTCTCCACTTGAGGAGGGAAGACCCTCTGCAGAAGTCAGAGCACCAAATTGCTACCTGGTGTTCCTGGTGCAGTGTGAGCAGATCATATTATGTCTCAGAACAAAGTCACAGGTACCTTCAAGTTACAGAAAGAAGAGCGCCCTACAGGCCTAGTCTTACTAACATTCTTTTAGCAGGCACTCCCATAGACAAATGCATTTGTTTATACTACACAAAACACTCTGAAGAGTGGAGAGCCCAGATAAGATAGTTGCCTTCTAGTGTAAAGGAACAAGAAAATAATTGCTCAAAGACTCAACATGAACTCTGACTGTAAGCTATAGCACTTCTTCGTCTATAATCCATTAAATCACAAATACTAGCAGCAGATGTCTTTGTATTCCACAAAATTCACAAAGGAAAACCCCAGCATTTAAGTTTAATGATGCAAGCCTTTGTTTTTGTTCAGCAGCAGAAACCCAGTGGGAGAACACGCAGGCACACATTCCATATGCATGGCCATGCCAGACACTTACCTGACTTGCACCAAGCTGCTCAGAGAATCCAGCAGTTTTACTAGGGAAATACTGTCACCAGGGCCAACAAGCCTGAGCAAACCCAGTGAGTTAAGGGAGCTCAGCCAGAGGTAGTCTCTCATTACACAACTCAAGGTAATCAGGCATATGCTCACACCAAGGTTGTTCAAAACCAGCTTTCGCAAGACCACTTAAGTGTGAGGCACACAATGTGATGTTTCCATTGACCTTTTGCCAAGCTCAAGCTGGCTTGGTAGAAAAATCTTTGTACTACTTCTGTATCAGCCTCAACACCTCCCTCACCATCCCCAATTCAAACTGCAAACTTGCAAAGACCTAAACTGGTACAGCTTCCATTACAGACCACACTGAAGATGCCAGGGCCAGTGCCAGTAACCCTGAGACAGAAGAGCTGTAGGCAAACCCAGCTGGGAGTACACCAGCCCTACCAAAATGCACAACAGCAGTGAGGAACCTGGTGTTTGCAGCAATACTTGAACTGAAGGCAAGATGCAGCCACCCCTCAGATGGGACTTGATCGCCTAACTTACTCATCTACTTAAGTGCAACAGTAAAAAACAATCCCTACAAGTTAGACAGATGTGTGCAATGCTTAAACCAACTTCAGAGGCATGACAAGCATTTCTAGCAACCATCTGCAAGTCCCCATACCCACCATTCAGGCCACAAGCATGTTTTAACCAAAGCTCTGGAGTCCCAGAAGTTTTGGAGGACATCATGCTAGTGACATCCATGCCTGGTCTTGCCTTACCAACTGGAGAAAAGCCATCAGACCAGTCACCCTCATAATCTAGCACAGCATTCTACACAGGGGCTCCTCAGGAAGGGTATCAGAACAGGGCAGACAGTAGCATTTCCCACGACTAACCTCCCACTTTACATGTTCAGCACTTACAGGTTGTGCAAAGACACAGACAGTAACTTTGGAGAAGAATAGTTAACCAAGGGCTGCTAAACACTGCATTTGTTAGGTACCCCTCAAACTGCATACTCCACAAAAGCTACTGAGGAGAAAGCACCACCACTGTGCACACAGCCACAACCTTTTCTGAAACCTTCTCTTCTCAGACTTAATACCCCTCAGTTCTTGCTCACTGACTTTACAATACAGTCAAGCCCTACGTACTACCTGGCCAATCAGGATCCTATAGACCTCTAGCATGTTTCCAGGCTGAGCAATCCCTATTCACTCAACAGTTCCCAATAGCAGAAATCCTCCCTTTCCCAGACAATACCAAGCTCCACTATATTCCTCTCAAGGTGGGCAGGAGACCAGAGCAACCCACAGCACTGCAAGACACCAGCACACCATTGATTTATGAAGCAGCACCATCTTTCCACTCCTCTAGATCCTTCAATTCTGAAGCTGGTTTTCAGCTGCTGCGAGCACCCACCTGATGCTTTCATGAAGCTACCATAGACCCTTTTCTCCCAAGATTTTATCCCTCTGGCAGCAGATACCCCTTAGCCAACTAGTTCATAACTCCAGGCTGCTTCCTGCTCCTGCCTCCCACACGTTACTCGATGCCTGCCTTTGGTGAGTGTCACACTTTGTCACATAGCCTGCTAGTCAGCATACACCCATCTTTATCGCTCTGAATAACGGATGCTACTCAAGCACTGACATGTTACTTCACACGCTTCTCCAGATTAGGTGGGACTGTACTGACCACCACAGAATTTCCTCTTGCATGCCAGCTCTGCTGGTTCTCTCCACCACAAGAGAGCTACCTCATCTCAGCCCTGCCTCTGCTCAGTCAGCAATTTCATCCCTGCCAGGATCTTACTCCAGGACTGCTTAGTTTCCCTAAGAAGCCTTGAGATTTCCTGGAGACATTGAACAAGTGAACTAATACTAACCAGCACTCACTCTCTCTCTCCAAGATTCAAGCTTCTGAAAGCTTCAAAGTTAACAGCTTCATGAAGTCCAGCTTTCCCTTACAGTAGTCATCCTCTCTTCCCCCAATGTCACATGTCTATGTGTACACCAACTTATTTTTAAAGAATCTTCTCCTCTGCCTATTCCAGAGGCATCACATGTGCCGTGCTCTACATAACCTAGAATAACATGAAACAAAAAACTCGGCCTCAAATTCACTGCATTCCAGCCCTCTGGCACTGAGGTAGGTGGTAAGTAGGAGGTTTTACCTAATCACAATGCATTCGTAGTTCCAAAGTAACTGTTGTATGACCCCGGCAAGTTGTTAATCAGCATTTGCTGTTGTTGTTTCACTACCTTTTCATCAAGAGGTCAATTCAAGCCTGTGAGTGATTCAGAGTCAAAGACAGGTTACAGCAGAGAACTTCCAAGGTCTTCCCCAAGCACACCCAGTAAGACAAAGTCCCACAGAACATGACTCCTAACACACTTTTACACCTGGACAGATTACTGTCTGTAAGGACTCCTTGGGAAGCTCCCTGGTCCTAATGTGTCTGAAGAGGGATATGTTAGGTGGGTTTGCTTTTGCAAGTTATACCTAAGGCTTTCTTTTCACTAGCCTTATTGTATTTTCATATTTGACCTGCCAGCATTTATGAACCTTTATCTCCTTCCTTTGGACACAGCTTCAACTTTGAGAGTTTCCCAGTTCTTGGGAATGGGGAACTGGGGATTTTAAAAGCCTCCTGTATCTTCCTTCTTCCTCTTGCCCTCACTCAAGTCTCTGATGGAAGCAAATACATGCCTCCTAATATGCAATCTACAAATACCTGCAGGTTTGCTGCAGACCATTTAAATTCCTTACCTGTCCTTCTGACTTTAAAAAAAAGGGTGTAAACTTGATCACAGCTTCACAGGGTCTTTTAACTTCTCTTCCTCCGGGAGGTGCACTAAATCATCACCACCATTCTGGAGCAGCACTTGGGCAATAGGACCCCACACCCATGGACTACTCAGAAGCAAGAAAAAGCTTGTTCTCCTCTTGCAGGGGTGGGTCCCAAGGCTAAGAGGCAGTCACTGACTGTGTGTTCAAGACTAGGATCAGAATTGCATGCAGGCACAACTTTTTTTGCTCAACTTACTTCCCTCATTTAACAGATTCTTCACATCTCGGATGCCATAAGAAACATTAAAGCCTTCTTTCTTATTAGGGTTGTTCCTGTCCCCTAGTGCTGCCTGCCCCAAGAAACCTTCTCTTTACACTGTTCATTGAGACTTAACAGCCTAAAATAGACCAAGAGATTGCCATTTTATTCCCCCGTAGAGGACATGAGGTTTACTAACACCATACTTTGAACTCCCATTTGACAGTTTTGGTAGGGCACAGACACACATAGTGAGCCCTAGGAGTCCAGGGCTACTCCAGCTGGTCTACAAAACACACTTATCCCTGGCTAAGCCCAGCTGCTTGCATTTACTGCCTCTTGGTGCTTCCAGCCACTTGTCAGGACACCCCAAGAGAAAGAAGCATTCATCTCCCTTTAAATCTTCCTTCCCACTCTTTCTCTTTTCCCCATATCCTAGCTGGGTTTAAGTGAGCACAGCCATCCCATGGGAAGGTCACTCAAAAATCTGCATCCTCATGGCCTACATGTGGTACGGCCCCCTTCCCCACCACCACTCCTCCACCCTGTTAACAGGTCAAGCCTACATCCATGCTTACTAGGCACCCAAAGGTGCAAATAAAGCTTCTAAGCTTTATTACCATGAAACCCCCAAGCAACAGATGCCTCCCGAGCTCAATTAAAAGACACTGCCTATTCTCAGCCCTGGGACCTAGAGAGCAACATGGCAACATTCATGTCAAGAGCATCTTTGAGGCAATGCATTTACCACAAGCAGTCTTGCACTATAAACCAGTTTGTAGACAGTCTGTAACTTTAAAAAAAAAAGCAACACAAGATCACAAAGCAAACCATGAGTATTTTCTTCTTTTTCAACAGGAGGCTTAGCACCTGACTGACTCGGGTTTCAACTAGTGCATTGTTAGGCTTCTTAGCAGCTATAACCCTCCAAATACAGACACCCCCCCACCACCACCCCCCTTCTGGTGAGTCTCAGGTGGCAATACGTGCTTTCCTGTGCCCTTGTGAAGTTCCCTCAATTGCAGCCCAGTTCCATTTTCTTACTTTGCTGAAACCCATTTTTAAGTTGGGAGACCACAAGTACTTTAGCCATTAGCATTGCATCTTCCAGTCATCCCATGCGCAATACTGTAACTGACTCCAGAAGCGGTTTCTTTACACAATTCCAACTTAATTTCTCCACAGAGGGTGAAAAGGAATCACGCACGCACTTCTCCACTGTAGCAGACAGCCAAGAGAAAATTCATTTTTTTTAGTCTCACACCTACACTTTAGGCACACAGGCGTAATGTTGTGCCGTATTCCCCGTGTACTTTTCCATAAGAGAGACGATGCTAAATTCAGACGCCCACGCCCCAAGTGCTTCAGAAGCAGCCGCAACCTCTCAGTTAAGCCACGCTTTCTGACACTGCCTGGCAAACAAGAGAGTTGTGCCAGAAACTCCACTGGCGATACGATTTCCACCTGTGATGGTGTGTGCTCCTACAGATTAAACTGCTTTAGGATTTTTCTTTACGAGATGCTGCCCGGAAGATCCGAGGCAGAAGCTGCAGCTTCAGCCGAGGCTCCCACCGAGATGCGTTCGCATACGCGATGATTGCAAGCACAAGCGGCAACTCGTCAGGAATCGCCTCACCACCCCGTTACAGCCTTCGCAACCAGGAAAGCTACGGAAAAGTACAACCCGCGAGGAGAGTTGCTAGGC